TCAATCCATGCTCAGGATGCTCAGGACCAGGAAATCCAGGACAAAACACAGAAACTATCAACTTACAAGTGTCCAGGTAAAGGAAGGGAACACGTCCTGGAAAGTCTGGATGTCTGTTAGTCCTGTCTGAGAAGAGATATGAGCGTAAGTGCACCAGACACTTCCACTTACTCCCCACAACACGGATGGAGAAAGGCCACCATACAAACATCAGTCACAACGACCAGAGCTTTACTTACAAGCACGATGCAAACAGTACCAGGAGAACACCCACGGAGAATCAACCATTGATTTATTAAAAGCAGTAGATCAGGCCAGTATGCAGTAGCTACTGAACTCAACTGAAAAGGGGGTGGACAACGGTGTGTCTGGGTGCAGTCACCAGGGGAGCTAAGAGTCTTCATTTTCATAATACCTCTGCTACAGTTTTTTGAAAACAACAAAACGCACCTCTTGAGGCTGCTGTGGCCTCTCCAGCTGTTCATTTGACCCTCTACCTATAACACAATACCTTACATTTGATCCAGCACAAAAAAAGTCTCAAAAAAAAACTTGTTTGCGTTTTAAGAGGCATTTTCTACAGAAGCCCGGCAGGCTGGATTGCCGCAAGCCAGTCTGGAATGAGCTGATTCGCCTAACTTCTGGGCTCATCAGTTTTTCAAGCATTTGGAAATACGAAAGAGTGAGCGATGCAAAAGAAAAAATGAAAGGACAAAAATATACTAGCTATTTTACTCTTATTTTTGTTAGGAAACAGGACCAGCTGGGGTTAACATTGTTTTTTTAATTAAGAGCACAGATTCAGATCATTTACATAGTGCCTTTGTAACTTCACAAATCTGAAGGAATCTTTTCCCCTGTAAGTATAATTACGTGTTTAGCTGGAGCAGTGAACCAGTTACATGCTGGAGTTGCAGACAGTTTACATACTGAATAGCACTGCTTTCATGCATCATTAAACTCACTGTTTCTGTACTTTACACAAACAACAAACGAGAAACAGCAGTCTGACACCTCTTGAATATTATAGTCCATGCTCTGCTTACTTGTAATTACACTTCTTAAATGAATGGTTTACTGAGCTCTTTCAGATACTCCCAATGTCTGACAGCATTGGTGCAAATCCTGAGCAAGGCAGCTTCTCAGATTTCTAATGCAGAAATGAAATAACATGCAGTTTATTAGGTGGGGGCTTTTCAGATGATAAAATAAAATTGCTCATAACCATTTCAGTTAATTTCAGACATTAAAAGCTCCCTTTTGTAGGAGGATCTTGCTGCTGCATTCTGGGCCAAGTTTTCTCCTTGAGGCTTCTACGCTGCATATCAGTCGGCTGATGCTTCCCAAGCCAGAGGTGACCACCTAAAAGTATATGTATAGGCCTCACAAAGCCCCTTCTGATCCCTTGGGGTGAAAAGCTGAGAAAAGAATTTGCATTTGGCACTAAGTTTTACAGATGTTGAACACACTGGTGCTTGCTGGTTGACAGACAAATTGGTTTTCATGCCAACTAGCAAGAATTTTCCCCATTTGGAAACGTCAGTTTAAGGAATCCGCAATCAGTCCACTAGTCTTACTGGATATCGAGACTCTGATGTCTGTGCCAAGATTTCCCTGCCTTCCTTATTGCCTTTTCACATTACATGGAAATGACAAGTTTAGCATCTTGCGTTAACTTTGGTGATCCTTGAGCACCACAGATCTCCCCTGGAGAAGGGGTTAACTGCTGCCAAAGGCAAGGAACTTCTTCTCAGGAAGAGCTCCAGGGAAAGAAGAGAGGCCATCCCTAAGTAACAGCCACCAGACTGGGGACAAATTGCAAGACAACTGATATGGGGATTATCAAACAAAGACAGATAGTTAAAGAGATATTTGTTACGGACCACAAAAAGAAAAGGAACCAAAGTAGACTGGTTGCAGAAAGAAACTTTTTGGAAAAGGCTTGCAGAGGAGGGAAGAAGTCCCAGAGTCCTTAGAGAATTCCCATTCATCACCATAGGACATTAAGAAAGAAAATTAAAGGAACCCAAATCAGGGAAATGCATTTAAGAACCTCTTACAGCCTAAAAAGCACTTCTTACAGCCTAAATCCATGTATTGCTGATAATAACGCACAAGTTTGTTTACTCTGAGGGTTATGGGCCAGAGAAGTGGCCAGTTCAAACAGCTGCAATATCCAAGACTAAAATTGACTTAATAAACACTACATTTGGGGAACAGGAATTTACAGTATGACAGCACAGAGAATGCAAAAGACCCTGACAAGTAATCATGCTAGGAGATGCCTTATGAATCTGACACGAAGGGAAGAAAAGTTGAAATTTGAATAGATTTAGCTTAAAAATCTGACCATCAGCATTAGTAATACAAAATAAGCTTTTCGTATCTCAGCTTTCACTGAGATAACAAAAACATTATAAGACTCAGAAATACAAATCCTTAAGACACTGCCATCACAATACCCCCATAGCCTCAGGAAGGCAGGGCCAGTGCAGAAATGAAAATGTAAATGAAAAAGCCAAAAACAGTCCTGAGAATCCTGCAGTTTCTTCTAATCCCCTGCACAGGGGAGTCCTGCCTTCAGCCTTGATTCCTGACAAGGAGGCCCATCGCACACCCGCGGCTGCGCGTGCGCACATTGCACACAGTTTTCTTCATGAACTAGCAAAGCACATCAGCAACTTCATTACAGTTCAAATTCTCAATGGATGTGAGAAGCACAGAAGCTTTCTAACCTTCATGTTTGCATTGCAGCAGTCAAGAGGAAGAAGCAGCAGAAGCAGGGAGATGGAAGGGAAGAGCTAACGTGTTTTGACCCTGCTTTTACTTCCAGACAACCCCCTTACGTACACTCACCCTCTCTTCTCAGAGACCAACAATCTTCAGCCGCAGAGGCAGCTCCCAAGTTCCAGCAAAGAAAAACCACATGCATTTGGCACATCACACCTTTGGACACGTGCAGACCGAAGGCCACACTCCCCAGAAGCAGAAGCTGCACTGATCTTGATATTGTATAGAACAAACCCAGCTCTGGAATAAGGCCCTCACCAAGGAGGGTGTTTTGCTAGCACCAGAACTGAGCCTAGTCCCAACACTGAAGCAATTGTGAGCAGTGACAAGATACTTTTTATCTGACATCCTCATGTTACAGATAGAGCTTCACCCATCATAGTGGCATCACGACCTAAGATTTGTAATATTCAATGGACGTTTAATTTCCGCCTAAGTGCCAAAGGAATCCAGATACTGCTAAGATGCAAATAGGGCCTGCTCCCAGCCTGTACGTTGGCAATTTCAGAACTGAAAGTTTATGGTTGTCTAGATAAGAAAATAAAGTTATTCTGGCTCACCTGGAACCACTTAACAATAAATAAGCACACATATTAGGACTTACTAACAATAAGGCAAGTCAGTAGAGAAGAGTAAAGTAGTTTCTGAAAATGCAGACATACGTCCGAGTTTGAACTCTGAGCTAGGCAGTCTCACATGGGAGAAGTCAATTTAAGTTATTTCCCTCACTGTCCCCCTCCCCTCCCCCTCAGGGCTTCAATTATTGTCCCTCATACATTTGAACAAGACATTTATACTCCCTGGTCCATTGAGTGGACACTTGAGACATTCTTCTTGCTCAGCTTGGGCACCAAACTCCTGCCCAGGATTCAGAAGTCCTTCTACTAGGACACTCCTGCTCATCCCAGTATAGCAGGGTCAGCACAGAGAGAAGTTAGGACAGAAACTCCAGGAAGTCTTCATGTAGTACACACAAAATGATTTTTCAAAGGCACATAACCAAAACTGGGCAGATTTTCTAACGCAAGAGTAAAGAAGCAGATCACCTTCTCTGATACAAAAGGCTTGCTAAATTTCAAGTCTGCACTCCAAAGCACTGATGCCCTCAGTGAACAGTTTAATATTTCAACATGTTCTCTTCCCCCAGATCGTATTTACTTAATACAATAAAAAGTGCTGCTAATAGCTATCTTATATGTTACTGCTGTGTCACTTAAATAATGCTCTAGCGTCCCTTGCAGACTAGTTAGCTGCATGCCCATAATAATGGTTATAGACCACCTCTTGAGCAGAGGAACAGCCTAACTGAATTCCCTGGAGACCTCATCTCCTGTTCCGATTTTGTCATCGCATGACGTTGTCTGTAGTTTGCCCCAGAACTGCGATGTTGAACCTGGCTAGATGTGTATCTGATATGTTCTCTTATGCTCTTCAATCCTTATGCTATGTTGTACGATGAAGCTCTCACAGCTTTGAAAGATGGAAAGAGTACCAGTTCTGTATACCTCCTAGGGATATCAGCTTTGTCAGAGCAAAAATTTTACTGCCACTGTCTTTATGTGTATTAAATAGCTTAGTTTTCACTTAAGAACTGACTGCATTAAAAAAAGATCATAACCAAATCCTTAAGTCCCTCGGGGGCACAGACCACATCCACATAGCATCAAACACACAGAAAGTGCTCAATTAATAATATCTAAGGTCACACTTGCTAATATTGGCAGCTGGGATGACAGAGGCGCTGTACACAAAGGATAGTCCTTTGATTTCCACCACAGCTAGTTCAGGTAGGCGGTTATCAGAAACCACTGCTCCAGTGAAAGATCAATAAGCTTGTCAGGGGGAGAGAACAGATGTAATCTCTTGCTGCAGAATCCAAGGACACAAAAAATAAAATGAAGATAAAGTTATTTTGCAATATAGAACTGGAACATTCAGCTCGGCTTGATTAATGGGCCGCGTCAGCAGGGTTACACATTAGAGAGTGACAGAAGAAGCAGCCGTCCGCACGGGAGAGGGGATGGCACTTGATACACAACAGCATCTGCCCACAGGTGTGGGCCTCCAGCTCCACAGGCAAAAGAATGATAAGCTTCAATAAATCACATGAACCTTGCATTGCCCCAGCAGAAGAAAGGCCTCTGTCTCCAGGGTGTAACGGCGCTGACCACCCCAGCTAGGAGCATTAGGAGGGGGTGCACTGGCTCCTTCCCCATGCTTTGCCTCGGACGCAATATCACTGCGTCAGGGGCTGGAAACTTAGCACAGCCTTTTTGACCTAAGAGGCAATTGCAACCCTATGGAGGGCTAAATGCAATGAGTAAAAGACAACTGGA